GGAAGAAATATAGTATTGCGACACGTGCATAGATTTGACAAATGGGGGGGGGGGGCGTGGCGCTACCTAAAATTCTGCTGCGCTACCTAGTTTTTGCCCTATAGGTAGCACACTGTGCTACTTTGCTCAAAAAAGTATTTCGAACACTGCGTTAATCAACAGTCCATACCGAACCAACCGTCAGTAGCCATCAAACCGGCATACAAACATATTACGCACATAACTTTCGTACTACACACAAACAAATAACCTAAACCAATAGAAAAAAAACCCGGAGGTTTGAAATCTACGATTTCCCTTGTTTATTCATTTATTATTTATTCATTATCCATCCATGCCACACCTACCGTAGATTCCGGCTGAAGGTACGGTGGAGTACGTCCTGGCCCCCGCGGACATCCCGCCAGGCGGCGCAGACGGGGAGGGAGCGGGCGTGAGTCCGGAGTCCCGGGGCGTGGTGGTCCTGTGTGTGGACGTCAGCGGGTCTATGGGCGTCACCACCAAGGTCCCGCAACTACAAGGTCTGCCAAATCATTTAACTTTCTTTGTATCCAGTCTATCGTGGTTTGGCAGGTTTTCTTCGGGGCTGCAGGGGCTCTTCCCCGCCCGCCTGAGCTAGGTTCCCCCGGTAGGTTTTCCACGATCGTGGTGGGTCAAATCAACTCCCCGGGCCGGCGTGCCAAACTCTATTAGCGTAACACGCCTACCGGGCGGCCTGTTGTACTGGGCGGGGGAAAACTATTAGAGCCCCGAAGACAGCCTGCCCCAACCACGATAGACTGGATACCAAGCTAATCATGTTATAGTGTTAAATTTATTTGTTCTGTGTTCTATTGTAGTCATTTCAAAATGCCCTAAGTTTGTGTACCTTTGACCAAGGAAATCAGGAAAAACAAGAAATGTGATAATGCTTATAATTATGACAATAATGATAAAAGTGATAAATAATGGTAATGAGATACCTTTAAATTGTGATAGTTACGTGTTATGTCAAGATGTTAAAGATCTAGATGTATATATTTCTAACTAGTCAAAAACATCCGTGTGACTGTCGTTTTATGTTTCAGCCGAGTGGAAGGCCATGAGAGATAAGAAGGCTGGGAAAGAGTACGTGTCGAGGCTGGAGTGTATGACAGCGGCCATTGCAAGGTAAGAGTTCAGCTACTTTATATTTAAAACTGGTAAACCTCTCCCAAAGACAAACATAGACATTTTCAATCTACTTATATCATGCCCCGACTCAATATCTTAACGTACTTATATAGGCCAATATATATGAAGTGCATTACAAAAGAGAGAAAGTATTATAACTGATAGCAACGCCTAACTCACATCATGTCATACGCCGTTTACGTTCATATTCCTTTAGTAATACTTGTAGTAGTTGTAGTTTCTCTTAGAATAAACTTGATTGTATTGATCACAGTGTTATTGATGCCTGATACATTGTACCATGTACAACTGTCGAGCAATAAAGTTCATTCAAAAATTCATATAGAGGGTAACTAACTTCTTAAACATGTCTGGTTACCAAACCTATTTTAGCTTCTATCCTCTCTGAAAAACTAGGCAGCTAAAATAGGCTTAGTAACCAGGCTACTTTAAACAGTCAAAAACAGGCTTAAGGGGTGGAATTTGGTAGCCTGGGTACCATCCCCAGTAGTATATTCGCAAACTCTATAACTGGTTTGCGAATATACTACTGGGGATGGTACCCAGGCTAGGAATTTGGGGGGCTTCTTAAATATGCTTACCTTCCGAGACCAGACGGCTGTCACCATGGTATCTGATGCTGTAGCAGACACCCTGTGGTGTTGAATTATATTATGTAGCAAGTCGGAGGGGGCTGTCACCATGGCTCCAGGTGTCTGTCATCATGGCAACTGATGCTGTAGCAGACACCTTTGGTGTTGGATTCTATTATGTAGCAAATCGTAGCAACCATATACATGGATATGTTTAGTATGAAAAAAGAGCAGTAGTTCCGCTTATGATAATACAACAACATTGTATCATGATAAACGTACAGGCACCTAGAAAGGCTGGAGTTGGACACCCCCGACAGACAGGTTGCCATAGCAACGTTCCAAAGCCATGTCCAGCTGTTTGGAGATGGGCGGTACCCACCAACTGACGTCACCGGTGACACGCTCAACAGCTACGACGGCCTCATCAGCACCGGGCGCGACCTAGCGGAAAAGTTTGAACTGCAGCCGATCAAAGATTCGCTGGGGTGAGTAGTGTTTGAAATTATATATATATTACCCTCTTCTTCTTCTTCTCCAAACCAATAAGGTCAATGACATGGACCAGACGTCTGTCACCATGGTGTTGGGTTACATCATGTTGCAATTTTATAGCAGGAGGGATTTAGACTCCTTTCACCATATATATGAATGTGTTTGAGTAAGAAATAACAGAGCAGACCATATGCAAAGGTATTACTTAGCATTATGCATTTTCTTTGTCTTTATTTTGATTCCACAGCACATTAAAGGAGAAGGTGTCCGGGCTGAGTGCAGGAGGTACCACGGCCCTGGGGCCCGCCCTGGCGGTGTGTGCGGGCGTGGTGGCCGACAAGCCGCGGTCAGAAATCATCCTCTGTACGGACGGCGCCGCGAACGTCGGAGTCGGGGACGTCAAAAAGGATCCCGGCTTTTACAAGAAGGTACAAAATAAGAAAATCATATTTGAATATAATTGCTGGGAATTGCTGAACTAAAAAGACTCACGTCTTGTATAGAAAATTGATGAAAATGATCAGAACAGTCCAAACAAGTAGCAAGTTGCTACTTGTTTGGTACTGTTCTGATCATTTTCATCAATGCCAAGATAATACAAGTAGAAGGCAACATTCAGCGAAGGCAACTTGCCTTAGCAAGGAGGGTGTTTTTTCAAGAGTATTTGTTACTTAAATACGTTATCTTAGCAACTCTTGGTTTTTTTATGCTTCCCTGAGTAAACTCACGTTTTCATGTTGACTCAGATCGGAGACTTTGCCAGAAGCCACCAGATCGTCATCTCCATCATCGGCATCGAGGGCGAGAACGTCGCGCTGGAGCAGGTCAGCGCTGCAGCGGCGACCTCTGGCGGCACGGTGAATGTACTGCACCCGTTGGAGCTGGTGCGTCAGATCAGGCAGATCGCACAGAACAACCTGGTGGCCACCGACGTGCGGGTTACCCTCATGGTCCACCCCGCACTGGTGGTGGACAGGAACGACCAGGAGAGGCGGGATGGCGAGGTACGCACGGATTTTATTACTCCGTGAAGGAGGTTGTATTTTTGTGTACTTACAAAATTGCACTTACCAAAAATATTTCTTGTCTGAACACATACTTAAAATGTCAGTAACAAGTGTGTGGAAGTCATCCATCCATCCACACATCCACACACACGCAGTCACACGCACACACACACACACACACAGAGTCACACGCACACACACACACACACACACACACACAGTCACACACGCACACACACGCAGTCATCACACATACACAGTCACACACGCACACAGTCACACACACACACAGTCACACACAGTCACCACACACACACACAGTCACACACACATCACACACAGTCACACACACACACACACACAGTCACACACACACACACAGTCACACACACACAGTCACACGCACACACACGCAGTCATCACACACACATACCCATAGTCACACACACACACAGAGAATCACACACATATTATAACTTAACGAAATTTTCACCACGTCAGGTGTCTCATCGGATTGAAGTGGACGTAGGAAACGCCACTAAATCGACTGACATGACCTTCAGCATCCGCCAGAGGTCATCCAACATTGACGTGAACATGGCCACTTTCCCGGCGCAGGCGCAGATTTACTTCACTCGTAAAGATGGTGCCAAGTGTCTTAGGGTCATCACCATGGAAACCAAGGCAACGCAAAACAGAGAGGACATGGAGAAGGTGAGTGTACATTGCAGTGTCTCAGACTCCGGGTGGCAAAGAAACTTTAAGGTAGTTATTGTAGTTAAGGTAGTTATCAAAAAATAGAAGGAGTAGTAACAGTATGTAAGCATACCGGTGGTATTAGAGGTAGTAGCACCAAACCAGTAAGGTCAATGACCTGAACCAGACGTCTGCCACCATGGTAACTGGTGCTTGGTTAAATCATGTTGTAATTTTATAGCAGGAGGGATTTAGACTCATGTCTGACCATATATAAATGTGTTTGAGTAAGGTATGCGAAGGTAAACATTATGCATTTGCTATGAGAATGTTGCCTTTCTAGTTACCTTTTAATAATGATAATGGTTTGGGAAAGTATAGTATAGTCATCAGGTAATGTTATGAATGTATACATCTTTTCAGAATCTGAACGTCGCAGTGACTGGTCTTGCTGCTGTCCAGAAAACTTCTGCTCTTGCTGAGGGAGGGAAAAACGACCACGCGAAGGCACATCTGTGAGTTCTACTGTCTGTAGTTAGTCAGATGGAAAAGTAGTGGTGTCGGATGGCGTAGTGGTAGAGTGTTCGACTATGAAACGGTGAGACCTGGGTTCGATCCCGAGTTGTACCCGGGACATGCACCCCGACGTTGTGCCCTTAGGAAAGGCACTTTACATGACTTTTCTCACTCCACCCAGGTGTGAATAGGTACCTAATTTAAGTTTGGGAAAGTCGTATTGAGGTCACCTGGTGGCGCCGAATGGCAGCCGCACAGACCCTTGCGACAGTTCCACAAAAGTGTGTGGAGCAAATATGTTATATGTATCATGTGTATTATGCAATTGTTGCAACAAAATGGAGGATTTTGATTTGTTCCACAGTCAGAACGTGGAGCGCCTCCTAGCGAGGGGAAGTGTTGGTGCAGATCAGAAGGAGGAACACTACATCTTTCTGGAGGAAAACCGGGAACTGGCACAGGAGCTGAGCGAGGAGAGAACGGTATGTGTCACCTCAACTCATTGTGGGGTTGTGTGGCGCGGTCGGTAGTGCGTTCGAACCCTGCCCATGTCACCTCAACTCATCTGTTCCTTGATTTCAACAGTCAGGACTAACCCCGTCTTATATACGTGTTAGGAGCAGAAAAATATCTTTAATTTGGTGACGTAAGGTAAAAGGTCAATATTGTGAGCTACGGCACATAAGCTTGCTTGCACAAATTTAAAAGAATGTTACACTGTATGTCAAAAAAAGAATGTTTAAGGTACATTGCATAAAAATCATGAAACAAGAAAAACTGCAAATTTCAACTTATTTGTTGTAAGCAATCTCGATAAATTTCGAGCATACTGTCTTAACAAATAAATATTATCCTTAACTAAAATATCCCTGAATAAATATCCAGTTTATTCCCTCAATATTTGTCAAGCATTAAAAGAAATTAACAAGAAAACTTTGGAACAGTCTTCCGGAGGAAATTGCTAAGATCAGGGAAAGACAAAGATTCAAACGTGAAGTTAATTCTTTCCTAAGCGCAAACCTCTGACAGCGTTCTGTCTATATAGTAGGCAGTCCGGCTGCTAATGCTGAGAGAGAGCTGACATAGATTTTTTTTAAAAATGATTTTAAAAAATTCGCAAATTGAGAAGGCACTATATTAAGAAGACTGACATTGTGAAGAAAAAATGGAGATGAAAACCTTAGGTAAAACCTAGCTGCTATGTTTCAGGGTCCCCAGACTGGAGCAAGTGCGGATCAGAGGTTCAAGAACCTTTACAAGAAGAAGCACGCCAGCGTGGACCAGTTCCTGGGTGGCAAAAAGAAAGGAAAAGCCGTGAAGGGCCGTATCACGGACAGGAAACTCAACCAGCAGTACTACGATTACGAGTACCAACCTGAGGAAGAGGAGTAGGCATGGAATAAGACGGTTCAGTGTTTGGGGGCCTGCATGGGGGGTCCCGACAACGCTCTACGCTCAATTTTGAGAGCTGGCTACGTATTACGCTGAATTAAGGAAACCTCTCGATTACGCTTTACGATAAGTTCCAAGTGGCTACAACGCATTACGTAGAATTAAAACAGCCGATTACGCTCTACGGAAAAGGGTATGCGGGCCCCCTTCGAAGTATAAGATGAAGCCCTTTAATTGTAGGCAGTTCATGTATGGCTAAAGCATGCTTACATGTCCAAACGCAAAGAGCTTTAAATTTAACTTGGTTTCAGAGGCCTTCAAATTTGACACACAATCATTTAATGTGTATGAGAATTAGTAACAGTGAACCGGTTTATAAGTTAAAATTTTTCCTCCTAAATAATTACTAAATAAGTAAATATTTAGTAGACGTTTATCTATATAGTAACTTAAGTAAGTGTTATACAGTAAGGACGTATGCAAATAGGCATGAATTATTGGTTTGTCACCTTTCTAGTTACAACTAACTTTACACTGATAACAGTAACTGGCAACTGTTTGTTGTAAAATCTTTTTGTAAGTAAAATCTCAAGGTAGTCCTGTAAGAGAGAAGACAAGGTTTAATTTTTGACAAAATCACACAGCAACATTTAGTGGAGCTTCGGCAGCCTAGGAGCCATCCTCCATTGTTACCACCTCCATATTGTCGCTAATAGTAATACCATGGACTACCCAGGACTACAGCCAAGCCAGAGTCTCGGAGGACATGATCTTTTTTATTTTTTGGAGAACAGGCAAAAGTCAATGCGCGCACGGATGTCATCCATAAAATGAAGTCAGTGACGTCTTACAACAGATCCAACACACACTACAGTTTTGACCTCCCATGTACTTGGACCACTTCTTATGGCTGTAGTTCTTGCATTGCCTCAAGACCTTACTAAGTCAACACGATTTATACTACTTATTACTAGATATATTTGATTCATCCTTTAATTCCTGTTTTGTGTATTTTATATAATGCTGTCTTTGACTATGTAAATTGTGTTTTTGTATGGGGGAGGGCAACTTGTAAAGGTGCGTATGCACCTGTTTTGCCTCCCCTTTCACTTTGTGGAAAATCCTGATAAACAAATAAACAAATATTGTAACATATATTATGAATAATTGTTCATAATGTTTTGAAAGTTCCAGCTCTCAGAAAATATGTTGCTAAATTTGTTGTACGCATTTCTTATAATGTCAAATATGTCAAATCCTATGATTTGTACATGCATTTGTACCTGTATTTATACATTAGGCAATATATACATTCAAATTATACACAATACATAAATACATACACACAAATATATATGTAAATATGCTGACAAAATCTCCTATTACTACATTCTCACAAACTGACTTTTCCAGTAATATTATAGTTACGGCACTGTTCATTAAAAGTATGTTTGTATCATCAACATTCACATTTTGCTACTGTTCGAAAAGGTCCTGCTCCGAGCGTCACGCAAATTTTCTATGTATAAAGCAATGCTATTATTAGGATCAAATTCTGGAGTCCTTTCATAGATCTGAGCAGCAACTATCATGGCTATATGCGCTGTCAGACCAAATGTGATGTAAGTCTTGTCCTTTTCTTTATACTGGAAGTAATGAACCTGTGCAGAGTTTCCTTTCCACGTAATGTCTCTAGAACTGTGTCCTTGTGACAGGAGAAAGTTCTCTAGCGGCATAGTGAAGACATCCGCCACCTCGTTGTTCGGAGTCGGTTGGAAAGTATCGGGAATAAAACCCACGACCGGTGTTACGAGGATTCCGTCTCTGGCGGGGACAGGAACTGTCTGGGACAAGACGTCGACGTCTTCTGGGTGAAGTTTGATTTCTTCTTCTGCTTCTCTCAGGGCCGTGTGGATCGAGTCTTTGTCTTCAGGGTCTGTCTTACCACCTGGGGAAGGTAAAAAGGGCTCAAAATTCATTTTTGGGAATAGGTGCACCCGGTGCACCCAACCTAAAAAATTGGGTGCACAAAAATTTTGTTTGGGTGCACGATATTAAAGAGAATAAGTACAATGTCAGCTACCTTATGTGCAATGTTCTGCCAAAGTGCTATGCATAATACATTACTGGTTTGGCGCAAGTGCAGTACATTCTGCTGACATGCTCATCATATTAGCATACATATTATACAGTACATGTTATACGTTGATGAAGGTTAGACATTCTGGTAAACAATATTCAAAGACAAATTAAGACTACTACTGGATAAACTACGGAGATAACTTGTGGACTTTCGAGTGAGATCCACCACTCTTCTTCAGCGTCAGAACAAGTCGACACTAAATAATCACATGTGAAGGGACTGGGAAAAAGAAATTTTTTCCAGTTCCTTCACATTTGACTAAGAAAGAACAGAAGTCTCCCCCTGTAAACCTAACCAAATGGAACAGTCCAGTTGCCATGGTAACCCACCTGGGAAGCACACCTCTCCTTTATGTGACCTGACCTCTCGTGACCTCACAGTGAGCAGTACGTGCAGGGCGCCATCCTTGTACAACAGTGGTACCAGTACTGCTGCGGTACCGAGGGGGTGATCACGGTACATGTCATCATTGTTGGTGTGGTACCGCTGAAGCCTGGTCCTCACTAAGTCCTTAGTAGGTACCATGCTGGATACAAGTTTTCACTGTAACAGACAGAAAACCTCTGGTAAATATCAGCCCTGGGAGTACTGGCTGGGTGCCGCTCCAGGGATGTCGAATTCAGAAGATTTGAGGATGAATCGAAGTACTTCTACTTCTACACGATATTAAGCAACACCCCTAATGGGGCCTAGTAGTGCTTAGGGGAGTGGTCCTTCCCCAGCATGACCGATGGTGGTGGTAAAAAACAAACAAGAACAAAAACAAGTGCAGTGACTATATAGAAGTCGTAGCTGGGGATTGGCCACATTCCTACAGCTAGGGAAGCCATAATATTAATGGCTGGCTACCCCAGCTTTAAAATGCTCAATTGCCATTACCAGTTACCTTTGGACAAAACACCACTTTTGACAACAACATCTTGTTGACACAACGACAACAATAGACCATATATTGTATGATGCATGTTTGGAATCACTAGAGGTCAGTGCCTGGGCACTTAGTATACCGGTGTCAAGCCATATACATGATCCTGCCAACTGCACAATACTCTGACTCTACTTGGGGGTTTCAAATATACCTGAGACAAGGGATGGGAGGGGTTTAGTCGTGATGTGGGAGACCTAACTCTAACCCTACCCTAGCCCTGAACAATGATCTCAACCCTAACCCTAATACCTTAACTCTAATACCAACCCTAATCCTAACCATAAGCCTTTTTCAAGACGCTAACTCTAACCCTGACCTCTCAAGTATGTGGCAGCTCAAGGATTTGAGGTCTTGGCTCAAAACCGGTGCGATGGAAAAGTTATGGGGAGGGGGGCAAAGTTCGAAGTACAGTTGACCGAGGTAACTGAGGTATGGCAGCAGTAAAATAAACTTACTGGGACGTAACTGTAGACTCCAATGACACAAAAGGGCATTGAAAACGGTCTAGGCCCACATTACCTTAGGATAAGACAAGGAAACAGCCATCGAAATTCGCCTTCAGACGCGTAGCCAAGTAACGCCCTTTTCTCGAGGTAGTTAGATAGCTTTCCGCTAGGTGTCGCTGTAGCAGGGTCAAGATGCGGTCAACGAACGCACTATGCTCACTGACTCACACCTAACTGAAGAATATGGATTTAAAAAAACGCTGTTTTGAACGAACAATAAAAAGCACATTCACAAGGAAAAATTATTAAAGTAAATCTATGAAATAAAAAATTCTAATTGACTTCTTTTCGGTGAAGATTACTCAGAGAATTGCATTATGATGCGGTGGCATACTCTCCTCTCCAAGCAGAGGTTTGGGTTTGTTTTGGCGTGTTTTTAGGCTTTCTTTATCGGGGTTTCTCTTTTGCACTGAATTTTTTTTTTCTCACCCAACCCAACCTCTTGTTGTACCGAGTTATTTTTTACGTATTGGAATCCCTAGTCGCAATAATAGCTAGAAAATGTTCTTATCGCAATCAGAAGATAAATGGGTAAAAAAATCATTTAACGTTATAGGAAAATTACTAACATGTGTTTTCCTAGAGGATAGAAAAATTGAGAATTTCGAATTCGTAAGATTAAAGCCATAATTAAGACATCGTATTTTTCTGGCCTGCATGTGTGGTGATTTCCTATTGGCCTGTCATTTATCTTATATGTTAACTTGATTATCGAGTGCAAATTTTGCTCATGATTTACAGGTGGCATGACACGTGCGTGAAACACGCCATTCCAAGATGGCGAGCGTGCATGGAAGGAAAGAACGAGCTGGGTAAAAATTCCGCCCAGGAAGACGCGCCACGTCCGCTTTGGTGGTAAGTTGTGCTTTAAATTGTCGTAGATACTCTCTGGACTATTGTGGGTAAATCTCCTCTGAGGTGAATGAAGCCAAAAGACAGAATTTTGAAAATAAGTTGCGGCAACTGTCCCCACGAGTTAACGCTGCAGTAAGTTAAGTAACCGATGGGGGCGCTTTTGCGTGGTCAGATAAAAAGGCACTTTCATATTCAAATGTTTACGCATTTTACACCGTACCCACACCAGTTCTTTGAGCATAGGTCAACCAAATAGTATTCAATGAGGGTGAAATTAATGATCTGGAAAAGAAAAACTACACCAATCTTAAGAGGTGCACTTTGTAAATAATCCGCTGAGGGGCGCTTCTATGTGACCCCTGACCTGAACAGCTTTGCTTGAAACGTGGTTTGTTGTTGTCCTTCGATCGTGTTTTGGTCAAATTCTATACGTTTCAATGTAAAACAAAAGTGTTACGAGGCCGATAGCATACAGAGGGGACACGATAGTACCGTTTGTGTAGAGGATGACATGGACAAGGTGATAGATTTGGAAGGAGGGGAGACAGACGACCGGTAAGTTTGAGTGGGGAGGGGGGCGGTAACAGAGTTGTTTAAGTATCAAAGACCATATCCAGGGTAATGATGTACGTCACATAGTGTTCAGGAAGGCAAATTTGTAGGCAGAAAAGACACCAGGAATCCACCATAAGGTTGCCTGTAAGAGAAGCGGTGTTTAATTGGTCTAGAACAGTTCAGGACTTTTCTATGCATGTTAACCAGTTGTTGAGCGGTAAAAAAAAGACTCTCGAACTTGACTTTGGCAAAATCTGAAATGAAAATGTTTAACGTTATATCTGTCGTGTAAACCTTGGACAGGGCTCGAAATTCATTTTTGGGAATAGGTGCACAAGCTTGTCAATTTTCATGAACTGATATTTGAAATGCATTTCCATTTGTGTTGTCGTTGGCTCTGATGTTTTTGTATCTAGTTGTAATTTGATGAATGTCAACATGAGATGCATATTATGTTGTTATTTGGATTGTGATATCTAGTGTGATTGTTATTTGTTTATGATATTGTACATGTCTGTTCACTGTTGGCTGTTCTCTTTTTTTGTCTGACATTAACAATGTCCCACGTGTTCTTCTCCCAACCAATACAGATTTTAGAACAAATGTATTGTGATATCTTGTGTGAGATATATTTTCTTGTGATCGTTGTTCGGACTTTTCATCAGAATACTCTGTTGTCTTTTGGCTGTGCTCTTCTTTTGCCTCACTAACAATGTTTATTGTGCTCTTCCCCCAATCAAAGCAGGTTTTGTAACAAATGTTGTGATTATTATGATGTCATGCATATGTGAATAATGTGAACATTGCAGCTGTGTACTTTGTGTGTGTAAATTTGGCTTGACATTTTTCTAAATTTGTAGCTTATGGGAAGCTGAGACTACCTGACCATGTTCCTGTGTGTGCTGTGGGACCTGTCTGTATTCCTGTCTATATTCCTGGAGAATCTGCTATCCTGTGTACCTGTGTTCCAGAAGGATTTGCCTGTGTGTGTTCCTGAGGGACCTGTCACCTATCTACGAGACAAGAGAACATCGTTTCAATACAGTGACTTTTGTTTCTCTGTCTTCAAGATGCGGACCCGGAGACTGGACTGCAGCAGGAGGAAGAACCAGACTTTTGTAGGCAGGGCTACATGAAAGAAGATGGGGAGGTGTGAGTATGGTTTCTTTGTTAACACTCCACATGCCTTCAGGTGCACACACTCGCATTTCTCTCAGTCACTCTACTCTGAGGGTCTGGATGCCTTTTTCATGAGAAGCTGTTCACCGTTAAGTATTGTCGCAAAAATGTACTATTGGCCACATCAATTCCACATTATTTGTTATCCTGAATTCATTCCGATTAGCGTCAGTTTGGACCCTAACACTTAAAATTTCCCTGCCCAAAAAAGTTGGGACCAGGAAATTCACTACGTTAAGCGTCACGGAAAAATGGTTCGTTTCGTGTAGTTGAAGGTCAAATTGCCCCAAAATTGTTGCTTTGTGATTTTTCTGAATGTGTATTTCTTTTACACTCTAGGTTTGGGAAGCTGATGCTGTATACCTGACCATGTGGGACCTGTCCATGCTCCTGTGTGTGCTGTGGGACCTGTCAGCTATCCTGTGTTCCTGTCCACATTCCTGGAGATCCTATGTTAGGAAGTGCATGCTCTATGTCTATGAATATTGTTGATGCATATCCATTTGGCCTGTGATTTTTCTGAATGTGTATTTCTTTTACACCCTAGGTTTGGGAAGCTGATGCTGTATCCCTGACCATGTGGGACCTGTCCATGCTCCTGTGTGTGCTGTGGGACCTGTCAGCTATCCTGTGTACCTGTCCTGGAGGACCTGTCTGTTCCTGCTGGACCTGTGCACCGGATCACATTCCAGGAGGATCTGTTTTCCTGTGTATTCCAGGAGGATATACCTGTGTTTTTGAGGGACCTGTCACCAGCTACGAGACAAGAGAACATCGGACTTGACAGTGAGTTTCCTTTTATATATAGAACTCTTTCAAAATGGGGTCTGCATGCCGCAATGCGCAGGTCATTTTAGGTTTGCATAATATGAAGCCCCGGCGTTCGTTTACCATTTAAACGTAAAAAATCTGCATTAAAAAATCGAGCTTGTACAAGTGACGTGCAATATGGGATGCTGCTTTGCAGAATTTGGTGCGCTGCCATTTGAATTTGCATAATTGGTGGTCGAAAAACTCGGATTTAACATCACATATAATCTGCACGAATTAAGAGTAAATCGCGGTCACTGCCTTCCAGAATTTAGCGTAAAGCGTGATCAGGACCTCCCATGCAGACCCTCAGAAATGACAATGAAAGATGTCGGGAAAGGGCATGTTTGTGATCCTCTGAATTTCTAGTTTAAAACACCTGTATTGTTGAAACTGGCCCTCCCTTCTATACTTGTTGTCATTTCTGAAAGAGTTCACATTTCTTATACTAATATCTAGGTTAAGGTTGTGACTAACATTTTGTCGATATGCCGGAGAACACAGTACATTTTCCTATTGAGGAGAGCACTTTCAATATTGTCTGTTGTTTCATTCTGTATAGCAATGGGATATGTTTTCAGATGCATTTGTGATCAAAGTCTGTTTTCCCTGATATCCTCTTCATCATGATCCACATCAAATTCCTTCTTTTCATAAACCATTTCTGAAATAAAAGTTGTCCTTCATGTGAAGAAAACATGATATAAACAATCAGAAAAGCAATGTAAAAAATTGTTAAGGGATGGATATTGTGTAGCACCCAAAAATGGAAAGAAATAAAAACTGAGACATTTTCATGATCATTTTTAGCTGTTCATGTTCACTGGTGGAGAGATGCATGTAAAGTGTTGGCTCTTTCTTGGTAGCTCTCAGTATTGTTTAATTATTGCTAAAATAACAAGTGATGTGGAACATATGACAGTATAAAATGCAAAGTCAGAAATTTCTTGTATGTAAACTATATGGAAAATCCAGAATGTAAATTCAAAAGTTGTTGTGGTTCATAAAATTATTTGAAGTTCTACCTGAAATTGCCCTTTAGGTTTAAACTGTAACATTTTAAGTTTTAAATCTGTAAAAGTTTAAGAAAACGTGTAAGATAACATGTGATTTGGTAATCATGCAATATACTCACAATTTTGACTTTGCAAAAAGCATATGAATCTAAAGTCCGACCCTGATTTACCTGAAATTCTATACATTGTCTATTGTTCTGCAATGTGTTTAAGGATAGTTGAAACACAATCGTAAATGTAGGCGTTCCACAATGTATTATTTCGAAACAACTGGAGTATGTAATTACTGCATGTTATATCAATATCATTCAAATACAATTTTGTCCATGATGAAGTGGATTTCAGGGAAAATACTTTGGTCACATAATGATTGCTGGAAACATGTCCTATTTCTTTACAGAATATGTAAAAAGGCAATGTTGTGCTTTCTTTCAGTAGAGTGAATGTACTACAGGTAAGCTGTGTGTGATGTTTGAAAGGGAGGAATTGAGTTAAGGAATCAGCAAAATAAAAGTATATTCTGTTTTTTTAGATCAGAGATAAAATACAGTTAACTTACCTTTGATTCTAAATGTAGCTATTAGGTAGTATAAAATAAACAAAATTGTAGACAGTGATCCAGTGAGGGTTGAGGAAAGTCCAGTGTCCAGCAGGTACGGCCGTGATGGTGAGGTGGATCTCCTTCCCCTACACTT